TAGATTTGCACTTAATTTTGAAGAACCTTCTTTTATCGATGAGGCCACGACGAAAAATGATATCGTTTTGATGACCAATTTCCTCTACACCTTAAGTAAGGAACATAACGAAAAATTCGATTGTATGGAAATTTTGAACAGTATGCAACTATTAAAAAGTGGGAATAATAAGAAAGTTTACGGAACTGATTTGTTTGTTAAAATGGGTCTTAACAAAGAGGGTTATGGTTATAAGTTTTCTAGTAAATTCTTCAAGGATGGGAGGAATAGTAACGTTAGGTACGGAGTGCTAAGAAGGGAGTATGATTTCAAGAAATTGGTTTTTGTCATTCCTTCGAAAATTTATAGGAATACTTTTATATTGTTGGTTAATGAGACTTTGGATTTTGAGGGTAATCGGCATCTTTTTGAGATTTATCATCAGCTTCGTGGTAAATCGACGACGGTTGTTTTTTCCGGTGTATCTTCAAATTATACGGATGTGATTGAAAAGGAATGTGATTGCCAAAAGAAAGATAATTGTTCTGATGATGAAAATTATTGTCAGGGGCGGAATTTTGGAAAGGATGAAAAAATTGAAGTCTATCCGAATAGAAATCAAATGTTTGAGAAATTGTTGTATGAGATAAATTTGGATAGGAGAAGTATAACAATTTTTGAAGGTGAACAGAGGATTGGATTGATTTACACCTATCGGGAGAGAAAGAATATCGAGGGGGAGACAAAATTGGAGAATATGATTGATAATTATAATGAACAACGAGCATATAATTTGGTGATATTTGAAGAGTACTATGCAATTAGAAATTTTGTGAGTAGTGGTGGTGAGGAGCGAATACAACGAGATAGTGAGGAGGCGAAACAAATGAAAATTGCACTTTATCGGTTGGCAATAAGACAGTATGAGGAGAAAAAGGAGGCGTTTAGTGGAAGATTGTTTCGTTTTGATACGAAAACGGTGGATTATGTTACGAAGGAATTGTATGTGGGTAAACCGTTTATTTTGCAGAAATTCACGACAACATCGACAAATGTTTTTTCGGCGGCACGTTTTGTTGGTTATCCGGCAGAAGATTATAGAATTATTTTGTATGATTTTAAATTTAATGGACCGTACTTTAGATCAATTGTTGAAGTTAAAGTGGAACAGTTTGAGCCAATTTGTGAGAAGAAAATTATTCTTTTGCCTGGTAGTTCGTTTACGATTAGTCATATTTCGATTGTCACTATGGGTGGAATTGGTAATGTTATGAAAGTTCAGTTGACATTGGATACTAATAATGCGAAGAAAAATTGAATTAGATGATAAGATTTTTTGATAATAAAAATTATGCCAAAAAAAAAGTAATGGAAAGTTATTTCGATCCTTAATTTTGACGATTGTGTGCGAGAAGCACTTTCCCTTATTTACATAGGAAAGGTCATTATTCTCAGGAGAGTAGAAGAATTTTGGAAGTAAATTTTTATTTTCTCTATTGTGCCAGTGATCCTCTCTTTGGGGGACAAGTATGAAAAGATTTCGGTTTCGTTTTCGTTTCAGGGAAAAGAAATATTTAGTCACGGTGATAAATTATTGTCAATTTACAAAAGCAAGAGGGAGAAAAATGTGTCATCCCACAAACATTTGTCAACGTAAGATGATTCTTCTTGAGATTTGGGAAAAGATTAAAAATCCAATTATCTTCGTTTCAAATGACAGGAATTTAGAAGACTTGTAGAAGTCTTCTACTTATATTTTATGTATAGAAAATATATGTACTGTCCCCAAAAATGGTTTTTAAGAAATTTTCGTCTCCTTTCCAAGAAAGAGAGCAAGAAAGTTAGCTGACAGTGAATAAGATATTGTTGATGTTGAGGAAGTCAGTTTCCATATTGTGATGAACTGACATCTAAATATTGCCTTTAAAAAGATTTTTCATGTTTTTCTTTTGTTAAACAGTCATTATGACAACACGTCCCACGCACAATTTGTCATGGTTTGTTAAAATATTAAAAAAGAAGCCAATTATCTCGTATTTTAGAATCAGGATCGCAGAAGATTGAAAAAAGTTGAATTATTTTTCTCTTGGAATTTTCGTGTGGAGGTCCCTCCCCCCCTAAGTCCCAGAAAAAGATTTCTGACCTGGGTCTCTTTATATATCTCTCCGGGAGACCCTCATCTTGAGTCATTGAATATGTCAAAGCGGATTTAGGTTTCATGTTTATAGGCATATTACTTTTGCTCGTTTAAATACAGAGAAGATGAGAATTTTGTTTGAGAAAAATTCAATTATTTAGTACAAAAATATTAGAATTTCTCATAGGAATTCAATTATTTTCAAATATTTTAATAAAATTGTTCGATAGAAATCAATTATTTTAAATACAATTTTAATAAAATTTTTTTTGAAATAATTCAATATTATTCTTTTAGATTTTAATAAAATTCTTCCCAAAAATTCAATTATTTACGTAAATAATTCTTCGAAAGAATTCAATTATTAAAGATAATTATAACAAAATTATTCATGAAAATTCAATTATTTTGAGGCATTTTAATAAAATTCTTTGCAAAATTCAATTATTTTTATAAATAAAGTTTTTTTTAGAAGAATTCAATTATTTAAAACAAAATTTTCATAATATATTATATTTGGAAAAAAATGAATTATTTAAAACAATGTTTATAAAATTCTTATGAATAATTCAATTATTTTAAAAATATCAAAATTTTTTACAGAAATTCAATTCTTTTTAAACAATTTAATAAAATTTTTCGTAATAATTCAATTATTTTCATAAATAATAAAATTCTTCTCAGGAATTCAATTATTTTTGAAAATTTTAATAAAATTCTTATAGCAACTATTCAATTCTTTTCATAATTAATAAAATTTATCGCAGGATTTCAATTATTTTTAATACAATTTTACAGGAATTACTCACAAAATGTAATTATTCTTAAAAATTTAATTTCGATTCCTTCAAAAAATCAATTATTAAAAAAAAAGTTTTTTTTTAAATCTTTGGAAGAATTCAATTATTTACAAAAATATTAGAATTTCTCATAGGAATTCAATTATTTTTAAATATTTTAATAAAATTGTTCGAAAGAAATCAATTATTTTAAATACCATTTTAATTAATTTTTTTTTTAAATAATCCAATTATTCTTTTAGATTTTAATAGAATTCTTCCCAAGAATTCAATTATTTACGTAAATAATTCTTTGAAAGAATTCAATTATGTCGTTAATTAATAAAATTATTCTTGAAAATTCAATTATTTTGAGGAATTTTAATAAAATTCTTTGCAAAATTCAATTATTTGATCATAAATTACAATATTCATCACAAGAATTCAATTATTTTTAAAAGTAATAAATTTCTTCTTGGAAATTCAATTATTTTAAAAAATTCTAATAAAATCGTTCGCAAGAATTCAATTATTTTCATAAATATTAAATTGCTTTTTAGGAATTTAATTATTAATTCAATTATTATTATAAAATGCCACACTGATATTTAATTATTCTTAAAAATTATAATAGAATTCTTTGTAAAATTTAATTATTATTTTTAAAAATTTTTCGCAATTCAATGATTTTTAATATCTACTATCTTCATAAAATTTCCAAACAGAATTCAATTTTATTTAAAAAAAGTCTTGTAAAAATCTTCGTAAGAATTCAATTCTTTTCATGAATAATAAAAATTTCTCAGGCATTCAATTATTTAAATTAGAATTTCCATAAAATTAGTCGAAGGAAATTCATTATTTAAAAACTTTTATAAAATTCTTCTTAAGAATTAAATTATTTTGATAAATATTGAAATTTTTTCATAAATAATAACATTTTTTGTTAAATAATTACTTTGTTAAAATTTTGCTAAATAAATATTCGGTGAAATATAAACATTGTTTCAATTAAAAAAAATCTGCCAAATGATAATATTTCTGTCAAATAAAAATTCGATAGAGTAAAAAAAAATTTCTTTATAATAAAAATTTGTCTGGCGTGGGATAAACTCGACAACCAATGAAAACACTTTCTCACGGTTCGTATACAGAATAGCTGTCCATATGGTGTTCTTTAGGAGTCTTGGCTTTGGAATTCTCATTGAAAGGTCTGGTCGCAGTTGCAGTTTAACTTTTACCGAGAGCAGAACTTGTAATTCTCTCTCTCTCAAAAAAAATTATTTCCTTTAGTAAAGTTTATTTTCTATTAAAGTAGAAATTACATTTTTAATTTATTTTTCTTATTATTATTTTTATTATTATTTTGGAGTTTTGATAAACTTTTCCAATTTCGAAAATCATCTTTCTCACTTTAAATTTTCTTGTATTTACATATTTATTAATAAAATTTGAAAACTTTTAGTAAAATTTTGAACAATTAAATTTCTCTTTTTCTGGAGAAGAAAAAATGAGAAAGAAAATTCGTTTATTTCGTGAAGTTAATTAAACAATAAGGGAATAATTTCTTTTGTGGAGTTTTCATTTTCGTTCATTTGCGTTCATGTGAAAACAAACTCAATGGAATACTTAGTGAAATTAAAAATGTTTTTTGAAGATTTCTTTTTAGTTTTCGAAATTAAAAATTTTTTCCTCTTGTTGAATAATTGTGTGTAGATTGAAGGTTTGACTATTTTTTGTGAGAGTGCATCTTTTTTGTGATTAATTTTAAAGTCGAAGAATAAGATTTTGATTTCGTGGCAATTTTATTAGTGTACTTCAAAATTCGATTGAAATTTTTATTTCTGTAAAAATAAAAAAAATTTCCTTTTTATCGATTTTCTTCAGTTTGTGCAATTTCAAAAAAAAGCAAAAATAAAATTGAAATTGACTTAATTTTTCATTTTGCAATATAAAAATTCGTTCTTTACTTTTGTATAAAAAATGTTTGCGAAACAAATTTTTGAATTTAATTTCGCAAAAATTTTACAAAAGAAAAGATTTTGTTTCTTTTACTTTAAAAAAAAAAACTTCTTTTTGAAAACAAAAGGAAAATTTTCTATCATTTAAGTGTGGAAAAATTTTTCTTCTACAAAATCCACAATATGACGAGAAATATTATGAAGTTTTCCATTTTCTTCTTTTCGTGAAATCCAACAAAGAAGAAATTTTTTGAAGAATTTGTTATTGCTGAAAATTCTATTTCTTTTTTTTGTGAAAGTGTTGAGAGAAAAATTCTTCATTTCTGAAAGTGATAAGGAAATTCTCCTTTTCAAGTGCTGGGAAAATTTTGTTTTCAGGAAAATAGAATCCAAATTTTTTTGGTTTTCTTTGTGGATTTTTGTTTCTCGAGTTCGTTTTCTGGTTCTGAAAGAAAAGTGAATAAAATTAATTTTAATTGTAAAATAAATGAAAAGTACTTACCGGACGGATGATTGGACTGAAGATTATAGTCATCGACTTGTAATGTGCTATTTGCCCCGCTTCTTGTAAATCTGATGACGTGATATTGATTGTCATTTACTTTGATACCAACTTCTCCCAGTGGATGATCGTTTGTTCCCATATTATAAACAGCAAACACATTTCCCTCCACCTAAAAGTATTATATATTATTTTTCAATATTTTTCTTCGTGAACGAATTTTTACATTTTTTCAATAATTAATTAAAAATTTATAATTATTTATTTTTTTCGTTAATTGAGATTAAAAAATTCTGTGCTATATTTCTATTTTGTACAGAATTAATTTTTTTTTTGTTTAATTATCAAAAAAAATTTCTTTTTTTAACAAAAAAAATATGAATTTTTTACCAAAAAAAAAAAATATAAATTTTTTCTTTTCTTAACGTAGAAAATTGTTTTTTTTTAAAAGAAAGAATGTTTTTTCTATTTTCTTTCTAAAAAAAAGAAAACAAAACTCGAAAATTTAATTACAATTTCGATCTCGAGATAATCGTTGCTGGATGCAGATTCTATTCGTACTACAACAGCATCACTGAGTCCAGTAACAAATCCCATTGCGACTGTATCCCTTTGCATTTCTGGCCTTCTGTCCGAAGGAAATGTGTACGTGATAATTCCTCTTCCAGAGCCAAATTCATAAGCCACCGATTCTACAAAAAAGAAAGAAAATTAGATTTGTGTTTTACAAAAAATGCCACAAAAAAATATGATTTTTTCATCTCTTGTAATTTAAAAAAAATGATTTTTAACAATAATAATACGTTTGTTATATTTATAATAAATTTCTTGCAAGTTGTGAATGTACCCTTATGTTTAATTTAATTTAAAAAAAAACTACTACAAGGTGTGAAAGTGTCTTTAGGTTTAATTTATTAAAAAAAGTATTACAAGGTGTGAATGTACCTTTAGACTTAAATTAGTTTAAAAAAAAGTATTACAAGGTGTGAATGAACCTTTAGACTTAATAGAAATTAAAAAAGTATATATTGCAAGGTGTCAATGCACCTTTAAGCCGAACTTATATTTCTAATAAAATTCTTGAAAGTGTTTAAATTGATTTTTTTAAAAACTAGTACAAGGTGTGAATGTGCCTTTAGGTTTAATTTATTTAAAAAAAAGTATTACAAGGTGTGAATGAACCTTTAGACTTAATAGAAGTTAAAAAAGTATATATTGCAAGGTGTCAATGCACCTTTAAGCCGAACTTATATTTCTAATAAAATTCTTGAAAGTGTTTAAATTGATTTTTTAAAAAACTAGTACAAGGTGTGAATGTGCCTTTAGATTTAATTTATTTAAAAAAAAGTATTTCAAGGTGTGAATGTACCTTTACGCTTAAGTCATATTTATCATAAAATTCTTGCAAGTTGTGAATGTACCCTTAGGTTTAATTAGATTTTTTCTAGAAACTACTAAAAAGTATGAACGCACCTTTAGGGTTAATTAATATTTCCACTTAAATTTCTACATGCTGTGAATGCACCTTTAGGCTTAATTTTAATTTTTGAAAAATTATTACAAGGTAATAAAAAAAAACCTTTAATTAAAATTCTCGAAAAAAAATTACTACAAGGTGTGAATGTACCTTTAGGCTTAATGTCTATTCACACTGGATTTTTTCGAAATTATATTTGAAAAATCAAAATAGTTTTTATACTAAAATAGAAAATTTCTAATTGAAAATGGTTTTCGATCTTTTGAAGAAAAAAACTTTAATATTATAAAAATAATAAATTCACAATGTTTATAAATATATTATAAATAAATATAATTATTAGCGTACCGTCACTGCAGTGTGGACCAGAGAAACTAGTCATATCACAATCGCATGTATAACTATTCCATTGTTGAACGCATGTGCCATGATTCGCGCAAACGTCGTGTGTACATTTTTTGCCAGGATGTTGATTTGCATTTGTTTCGCAACCCGATTCAACTAAGGAACTTGGAACAACAGCGTCGCTTATTAAATCCGGACTCTCTCCGCTTAGATCAAGTGAAGCTAAACATCCTTCGAATCCATGTCGACTGCTGATGTGCTTGGGAAGCTGAGCGTATTGTGACTTCTCAACTCCACCTGAAATTTTGTTTATTCATGAACTTTCGTCACTAAATATCATGAGGGAATAGGGTATTTTCAAATCCTTATAAATACAATGCGATGCGAGGAAAATATATATATATATATATATATGCAACTTTGTCAAAATGGATCCTCTATTTTCATTCTTCCTTTGATTTATTTTCCTTTAATTTTAAACAAACTTATGCAGTTATTTCTAACATAACCTGCAAATTAGTAAAATAAGGGAACAATTTGGAATTTAAAAAGGTGTTTTTTTTTAAACTCGATTATTGCTTCTCTTTTGATACAGTTGCATATTTTGTTTGTACTTTTTTTAGATTTTAGCCACAAAAAAAAATAATAAAATTTCCACAAGAATTCAATTAATTTAGAATAGCATTTTTAAAAATATTTCGAAAAAATCAATTATTTAACAGAATTTTTATACAATTCTTCACAATAATTCAATTACTTTCACTAATATTAACAATTTTCATGGAAATTCAATTTTTTAAAAAAAAATTTGTTAAAAAAATCAAGAATTCAATTATTATTTTTATAAATAATGAAACTCGTCGAAGAATTTCAATTATTTTTAATATTGTTTTAAATTAATTAAACGAAAAATTCAATTATTTTCACCAATAAAGTTTTCCAAAAGAATTCAATTATCTAAAATAAAATTTTCGTAATATTTATTATATTTTGAAAAAATTAATTATTTAAAACAATGTTTATAGAATTCTCATTAAGGATTCAATTATTTTAAAAAAAAAATAATCCAATTTTTCGCAAAAAATTCAATTATTCTTGAAAATTTTAATAAAATTTTTTCCAATAATTCAATTATTTGCATAAATAAAATTCAGTTGAAGGATTTCAATTATTTTTAATACAATTTTACCAGAAATTACTCAAAAAATATTATTATTCTTAAAAATGTAATTTTAATTTTTCCAAAAAATCAATTATTTAAAAAAAGTTTTTTTTTTAAAATTCTTTGGAAGAATTCAATTATTTGCAAAAATATTATAATTTTCAACAAGAATTCAATTATTTTTAAATATTTTAATAACATTTTTGAAATAATTGAATTATTCTTGTAGATTTTAATATAATTCTTCCCTAGAATTCAATTATTTACATAAATAATTCTTCGCAAGAATTAAATTATAAAAAAAAATAAAAAAATAAAAAACAAATAACAAAATTAAAAATAAAAAAAAAATAAATAAATAAAAAAAATAAATAAAATAAAATAATAAAATAAAAAATAATAATAACATAAATAATAAAAAATAATAATAAAATAAATAATAAAATAATAATAATAATAAATAATAAAATAATAAATAACAAAATTATTCCCGAAAATTCAATTATTTTGAGGAATTTTAATAAAATTCGTTGCAAAATTCAATTATATTGTCATAAATAATAAAATGCTTTTTAAGAATTCAATTGTTTAAAAGAAAAAATTAATAAAATTTTTCGTAATAATTCATTTCTTCTTAAATAATAAAATGCTTCTTAAGAATTCAATTATTTTCAAAAAAATTTCTTTTTAAATTTTTGCAATAATTCAATTATTTTCATAAATAATAAAATTCATCGCAGGATTTCAATTATTTTTAATACAATGTTACAGGAATTGCTGAAAAATTTTATTAATCTTAAAAATTTCATTTCAATGCCTCAAAAAAATCTATTTTTTAAAAAATGTTTTTTTTTAAATTCTTTGCAAAATTTAATTATTTACATAAATTACAATATTCATCAGAAGAATTCAATTATTTTTAAAAGTAATAAATTTTTTCTTAGAAATACAATTATTTTAAATAATTTATTAAAATTTCTCTCAATAATTCAATTATTTTCATAAATAATATTTTACAGGAATAACTCAAAAAATGTCATTATTATTCTTAAAAATTTAATTTTAATTCCTCGAAAACATTATTATTTAAAAAAAAAATTTTTTTTTAATTCTTTGGAAGAATTCAATTATTTACAAAAATATTAGAAGTTTTCACAGGAATTCAATTATTTTCAGTTATTTTAATAAAATTGTTCGAAAAGAATCAATTATTTCAAATACCATTTTAATTAGTAAATTTTTTTGAAATAATTTAATTATTCTTTTAGATTTTAATAACATTCATTTAAAGAATTCAATTATTTACGTAAATAATTTAATAAATTATGTTGATAAATAACAAAATTATTCCCGAAAATTTAATTATATTTTGACTTTTGAGGCATTTTAATAAAATTCTTTGCAAAATTCAATTATTTTCATAAATAAAAATATTCATTACAAGAATTCAATTATTTTTAAAAATAATGAATTTTTTCTTGGAAATTCAATTATTTTAAAAAATTTGAATAAAATCGTTCGCAAGAATTTAATTATTTTCATAAATAATAAAATGCTTTTTAGGAATTAAATTATTTTTTTAAAAAAGAATTTAATAAAATGCCACACAAACATTTACAAGACATAAAAATTATATTACTTAAAATTTATAATATATATAACATTTATTTAAAAAGCAACATTTTTTTAATATAAAATGGGCTTTAAATAAAATTTTTGACAAATCAGTTTTAGGTCTACAAAATTTATCTTCGAATTTTTAATTCTTTGAAGTAATTTATTAAATTATTATTATTATTATTATTATTATTATTATTATTATTATTATTATTATTATTATTATTATTATTATTATTATTAATTACAATTATAAAACTTATTTAATTGCATTCTCGTTTTTTGAATTGAATTTATTTTTTGTCCCTTTTAATTACCATTTTTTTATATATAATATATATTTTTTTCTATTTGTTAAAAAAAATATGAAAAACAAAATTTTTATACGCTGAAGAAACAAACTCGCTCGGATTTTACATTTTTGCGTTTATTTTTCCTCTTTAATTTCCATGTGTAATTATTATTTTTTTTAAAAAATGTTTTACGTTGCAAACGAATTTTAAATTGGGTTCGGTTTAATTACTGCAAAAGAGATGTTTCCCATATATATATAAATAAAATGTATATAAATTTTAAATTGAAGTTATCCTTAATTTAACTGAAATTATTAAATTTAAAACTTTTAATATTTGCAAAGAAATAAATAGAAATTTTCTATTGACCAAAAAATATATATAGTTTTACCTCATTTTTAAGTTGAGAATAAATAAATTTTTTTTAAAATAAATTTTGAAAGTAAATAAATTTACAAAACTGGAAAATTTGTATTAAATGTATAATTTATCACTCCGTGGAAAATTTAATATAAAATATATCATAAGAAAATTAACAATCAAACATTTTTACTGCGATTACTGAAAGATGTTAAAAATTAACACAAAAGGGAGAAAATATATTTCAGACTAACTCGCCATCTAGTTTTATTTCTCGCAACTAAAATCAAATTTTTTATGCTTATTTTCATATCGGAATTTGTACCAGGAAAGTAGAATATAAAAGTTACGGTTTTTGCCCTTTTTTTCTACAAAGTGGCAAAGTTATAAAATTGACTGGAAACAGTATTTATTAGGAAACTAGAAATTAGTAGGATCTATACAATATTTTCGAAAATTTTCATTTTGGTTATCCGTTAATAAAAATATTATTAAAAGCAAGCAAAATAAGCTACTTTAAAAAAAAAATAATTTATACAAATTATTTTAGTTTTTTTCTTTTAGAATTTTTTTTAAATAATGTGAATTATTTTATATTCTATATAAAAGAAACTAGATTTATTTTGAGGAGTATTTTTTCTTCAAGGGACAATTTATCTCAGACATATAATCTTTTTGTATTTGTGTTTATTTTATATGGGGTTTTTTCCAAGGAGAATAGGAAGATGAAGGAAGTTTCTTAATCAAAGTTTTTTTTTTTTTTTTGGTCGCACCCTCTATTTTTCCTTTGCGTGAAATCGAGATAGGATAATCGAACCCTTATGGTTGATCGGATTCCCAGGATAATAGGATTATTTAGAAGTGAAACTATTTTCACGTCGCCCTTTCTTTTTTCAGAGCCTTTGAATTTTAGGTTCCTTTGAAAAGAAAAATACCTTTCCATGTATATTCCACTATACTATATATTGTATACGTTTTACATTGAAATTATTTGAAATTTCATAATTAAAATAAATAATAATAACCAAGTTCCAATTTTATTAATTCATTTGTGTAAAAAATGTTATAAACTATAAATTTGACGCTTTAAAGTAACTTTTTACAATTTTTTGTTATTATTTCTTTAAAAATAGTTGCAAAAGTTCAAGGCATTGGATCAGGTGCAGAAGGTTGTTTTTTTTACTATCGATTACTGAAAAATCAATTATAATATTGATTTCAAAATTATTTTAGCCGCATAATTTTTTTTATTTATGCGTACCAAACATATTCCTTTATATCTTTCATAATTATATTCTTTGATGAAAATCACAAAAAACTTATTAATAACAAATAACAGTGATTTACTATTCATATTTATAAATATATATTTATGAAATAAAAAACTAAAAAATTCCATAAAAAGTAATCATAGAATGAAGTAATAAAAAGAATACAAAAATATGGTAAATTAAAAAAAGAAATAAATTTGAAAGATAATAGGTGAGGCAAGGGATTTTGTTTAATTTAATTATAAAATTTATTTGACAATCGATTATTACAGACATATGTTTATGTAATAAACTTCAAACCTACAAACTTATGTAATAGTGAAGAATAATATTATAATAAATTCTGTTATTTTTAACAAGAAGAAAATCCTCACGTTGAAAAGCTATACATATTTCATAATGTATTACTGAAGTTCTTAGTCGTATTATTATTTTCGGTATTCTAGAGAAACTTATCTCTGTTACAAATATTATGCTTTTTCAGTAAAGCTATTGTAAAATAATATTGAAAATTTACATTAATTAATTAATACAAATATTTATTCTATTATTTTACTTGAATTCAATGTTCCTGAGATAAGAACGTCAAAAATA